GCGGGCGCGACCGCGGCCCTTCCAGGGCGCGCTGGCTCGGTGCTGGCGTCCCTCACCCTTTCCTGGCCGGGTCGGCGGCCGTCGGGCCGGGGGCTTGCCCTTCCGGAAGAGCTCGGCGTCCCCGGCTCCCTCCCGCTGGTGGCAGCGCAAAAACAAAAGCCCAAGTGCCCCGAGGCAAAACAGCGGCGGCGGCGGGGAAGCGGGCCCGGCTCCTCGTGGGCGCCGGGGCCTGGCGCGGGGTTCCGAGCCGGTCTCCCCCGCGCGGTCTCGGTCCTGCCGGCTTTCAGGATGCTCCTGTCGTGCGCGGGAGTCGCTCCACTTCCGCCTCCCTTGCCGAATGGGCTTCACGAGTGAAGAGCCCCGTTCCGAGCGCCGGGTCAGCTTCTCCGCGTTCCCCCTCTGTCCCACCTCGCCCCGTCTTCCGCAGCCCCCCGGCTCCCTCCTCGGGAAGGAGTCACGTCGGGTGCTTCTTTCCGTTCGGTTTCCGTGGGGTACCCGGGGTCCTTTCTGCGTCCTCCTGCGTGCATCTCTAGTGTGTTTTGGTTTGTGGACTGCACGCTTGCTAAGCCCGACAGGCCGGTATCATCCGCTCGCCTTACCTTAGGAGGGCTTTTAGAAGTTTCCTACTCTCTCTGGTCTGTAAGAATGAGATGTTAGTTTGAGAACTCAGTGATAGGATCAGAAAATAGGTTACAGCTTTTAGTTTGCTGAAATTCTGCAGTGTAGAGGCCTAAACTGTGAGACTGCATTTCTTCCCTGTTTGAAGATTGAAGTGTGACCGTTCCCCTTTCCAGAGAAGCACCGAGTTTTTTTTAAATCATTGTAGTCCTAAAAGGAAGCGTGTAACTGACAGTTTTGATTAAACCCAAGGTAGTTTTATGATTCCTAGATAACTAATTTAGTAATCTTGTAAAGAGCTTCTCCTTTTAAAGTTTCTTGCAAATATGACCGATAATAATTTGACATTTACACATTTGTACGTCTGTTTTCCTATAGGTGAGACTTTGACATGAGCCTTAATAACATGTCAAGTTTTATATAATGAAAAGTGAATTTCATGACTCAGTCCTTTCTCGTGCCCTGGCTTCACTCACTGGTTCCTGACATTTTTAGGGACTTAATTATTTCTGTAATGAAAACATTTCGTAGCTTAATTAATTACCATATGGAGGGAGGTTTAAAATCTGCAGGGTTGATTTATCCATTCATGGAATGGTAGAAAGAAACTCTAGGAGAATGAGTCTAAAGATTTTTGTGGTGTTTTTCAGTTCAGTAGGAATTCAAGTAAACCCTACGTGTTTAGGATTGGGTCGGGGGAGATCGTTTGCGTAGGTGCGTTGAGACCCTGGTTCAATACCCAGTCTCTCCCATCCCTGTTCAATTTGAATGTTTAAAGTGATGTCATGTGATGACATTGTCTTCATTCACTTTGAGGGGTGCTTTTTGAGACAGGGTCTTGGTATGTAGCCCAGGCTGGCCTCGAACTCCCAATGATCCTCCTGCCTCAGCCTCCTGAGTTCTGGGATCATAGGCTTGCGACACCATGCCTGACTTAACTCACTTTTTATTTTCGTTTTTGTAAACTGATCTCATGTAATCATGTCAGTATTAAAAACGTCAGGAAATGTACATCATAAAGAAAAGGTTAGCTAAGTGAGGTGGCTCACATCAATAATCCCAGCACTTGGGAGGCTGAGTGATGCAAGAGGATCGCTAGGCGTTCTGGCCATCCTGAACTATATATAGTAAGACCCTGTGTCAAAAAAATAGAAAACGGAAAAACCACAAAGGAAAAGGAAGAAAAGGCTTTAGTGAAGAAATAATATTAAAAATTTCTCTTTTTGATAGAATTAAGTGTTCTTGCGCCTATTTTTTTTTTCCAACTTTTTGGGGGAGGAAGGTATAAATATCCATTACATTTTCCAACACGTGTACTAAAGTTGGACTGATACAGAAAAAGGTGGGAGTGGACCTTGCAAACAGATAAAAGATAAACTTTCAATACAGAAAATGCTTCAGATGCCTTGGGAGTTAGTTCACATGTATAGAACGGAAGAGTTAAGATAGATTCCCACAGAGATACCGCCTTTCAAATATGTTTATTGATATTTGAACTGTATAGCCAATTTTTCAGTAATTCTGTCTCTCCTTTCTAAGCGTAAATATACTATAATTGTTTTAAAATAGATAGTAGAGCTGTCAGAGGCAGTTGAAGAACACTGGTTGTCTTCCTCATTAATTTGCTTTTCTGTAATTTTTTTTCCTGGGGTAAAAATGTGACACTACTCCAGGACTCCAGAATATTAAGCATTGGCTTGACCCACTGCACAACACTTGAGCTTGCTTCCTTTGTTTTTCATGTTCTGATATCACATTGTCATTAAGTTTGTTCCTTTGATGTGCTTGTTGAATTGTGATTTCCTTTTTTTTTAATTTAATATTTTGCATGCCAAGAGATTGAGTCTAGGGCCTTGCACATGATAGGCAAGTGTTCTACCAATGAGTTACAGCCCCAGCCCATTTCCTAGCTATTTTATATTTGACTTCCAGCTTGAGTTGTGGTGTGTTAAATTTGGCTGAATGAGATTGGATAATGGATCCTGTGTGAGAGTGGATGAAATGATTGCAAAACATTGTGATCAAATCTCTCTCTCTCTCCACATATATATATATATATATATATATATTTTTCTTCTTTATTTTTGCGATTTTGGGAGAGGGTCTCTCTATGCAGTTCAGGCTGGCCTTGAGCTTACTTTGTAGCCCAGGCTGGTCTTGAACTCACAACAGTCCTCCTGCCTTAGCCTTCCAATTACAGGTGTGTGCCACTACATGCAGGGAGAAGTGTCTATATATTTTGTCTAAACTTCATATACAGTTACATATATAATTTAGGAAATACTGCAATGCTTTTTTTTTTTTGGTCTTTTTAAGACAGGATCTCACTATGCAATTCAGGCAGTGCTGGGATTACAGGCGTGCACCACCACACCCACCTTAAAACTGCTATATTTTAAAAGCCATGGTGGTGAAACTTTCAAAAGTTTTGATAGTCTTAGGATCCATTAGTAGAGTGTCTTGCCAGGCAGGCGCTTGTGCTACTGAGCTATATCCTTTGCCCTAGAGTGCCTTACCTAGATAAATATTATTTGACATTTAGGCCAGATAATTGCTTTCAGGGGGCTGTCCCATATATTTTGAGGTGTATCCCTGGCCTGACAGTAACCCTATACTGTGTTTACTAGATACTGGGCACCTCACCTGTCATTTCCAGATTTTGCCAGGCATACCCCATGGCACATAATCTTTTGTTTGAGAACCAGTGTACTAAGACAAAGTGTGGAAATTACATTGTATTCCTGCCCTACTTTGTGCTGGTCAGATCATTTTTTGCATCAGCTCAATTCTGGCTGTCACATTTAAAAATACATAAAGGAGAATAACCAGTATCAGTGACCTAGCATTTGTGCCATATTCAGGTGTTCATGGAAGAGATAAGACTTAGAGGAGCCAGTAGTTTTCTCCCAAACTCTTGTGAGGGCTGTTGAGAGAAAGGGAATTTTGTTAGTCATAAAAGGTGGAGCTGGGACCTCCTAGTTGAGAGTAATGCTGAGTTCTCACAGTGAGATCTGTAGGTGTTTGACGGGGATGAGAGTTGTTAGTATCAGTTTGTTCATTTATTTATTTATTTTTTTGAGACAGGGTCTTGCTGTGTAGTTTAGGCTGGTCTTGAGAACTCATTAAGTAGCCCAGGCTAGTTTGGAACTAGAAGACCCTCCTGCCTTAGCTTCCCCTAGTTCTGGGATTGCAGGCATGAGCCACCACTCCAGGTTGATACTTGTCTTATTGAGCCTGGTTTATTTCACTTACATGATGATCTCCAGTTCCATCCATTTTTCTGCAAAAAAAAAAAAAAAACAAACAAACGTAATTTCGTTCTGAGTAATACTCCATTGCATACATATACCATATTTTATCCATTCATCTATTGATTGCACCTAGGCTGATTCCACAGCTTGGAGAATTTGACTCTCAGATTTTAAGCTTTGGAGGTTTTGTAGTGAATTGCAGGCGGCCTAGTAAATGTCGGCTATGGTTTTGGAATGCCGTGTTTTATCTTAAGCGTGATTTCAGTTCATACCTTTTTTTTCTTCCCTTCCCCCTGGAGGTTGAACTCAGGACCTTCACACTGAGCTACATCCTCCGCCTTTTAAAAGAAATTTTAGACAAGGTTTCACTAAGTCATTAAGTTGTCCTGACTGAGCTTGAACTTGCAGTCCTCCTGCCTCAGCTTTGGAAAGTACTGACACCACCACACCTGGCTGACTGTTCATGTGTGATTTTTTTTTTTTTTTTTTTTTTTTTATTTACAGAACTTGAGAGGGGAGATAGTAGAATAGTGGAATTGAGTGTATGAGCCTATTTAATTCTATTTCCTGATCTGTGGACAACACCCCCCAGCTCGAGAACTTAAAATGCTTGATTTATTAGACCATTCTGTTCTTGGGAACTAAGTCAGCTTTAAGTTAACATTGCACTTAAATTTTACCTTCATTTGCATTTAGGCAAGTTCATAAAAACTAGTTTCTGACAAAATGAGGCCGTGTAGGTTCTCAGCTATTTCTCATTTCTTGTGTCTTATTCTGTACATTCAGTATTTTATCTGGCAGCTTTTAAATAATTGGGTAGTCTGAGCTTATGGGTTACAGTACAGCAACATTGCAGGAGATACTGGTTCTCTTTCAAACTAGTTAAGCAGAAATTCCAAGTAGCCCCTTGAACAAGGTTTTACAGGTGTTGTGCATCATGATTAAACTAGCTCTGGATTCTGTGTTTCATCTCATTCTAGTACTT